CAGACGACTTCTCCATCAGGCTCCTTTCAAGTGGCCTCTGGACTGAGACACAAATGAACTATTCTGAAGTGTGTTTTTGACATTGTACTTTATTTTTGATATGCTCAACCAGGCCCTCAAATGATATACTCAAGTGATCAGTGCTGTAATTTGTCTACATCTCAAAGCCAGCCAAGGAGCTTTACTGTCTCTGGAAGATGTCCAGGCACCAGACAGAAGGCGATGTGGTGGTATGTGTTCGTCCAAACGCAGCCGTCTCCCTATTTTCCTCTAATTTGATTTAAGACTTGTCATAGGTTTAGAATTCTAAATTGTCACCTTTCTTCTTTTTTTTCTTTCCTTTCTCTCTCGTCTCTCATCTCTTGTCCCACTGTTGTGTTTGATTCCTCCTCCGTTCCTTCATCACTCCCTCTGGGACCTGTTTAAATAGGAATCATCAACACACTCCTTTCTCTGTTTGCTGCCAAAAGATCAAACCGTTAAAGGTGACTGAGTGGCTTTGTAGCTGCCACTTTCTTAAAGTAAATCAGACCTTACTATGCACATTAACATCCACATTTGTTAAAGCATCCACTTGGACATAAAAGCACACTAGTCACAATGGACCTATAAAAACAGACCTAACAAATAGAGCAGTTGGCCTGGTAGTGAAATGGTTTCTGACTAACTGTGTTGCTTGCAGACCTCATTCTACAGCAGTTGCCCACTTGGTAATAATCCAAACCGTTTGAAAATTTGTCATGCATCATTGCCAGACTGAGTCATGTTGTCTTATCAGGGTGGATACAGTTGTACCACTTCCGCTATGTGACTTTTTTGTGTCAGAGATATGACATTATCACATTGGCCCCTGCAATATCATAGCCACAATGTGTGTTTTGTTCTTGTTGTAAGAAAAGGGAAAAAAAAACAGAGTTAGCCGTCAACAAGTGACAAAAACAACAGCTGCTCCACTGACATTAAGTGTATGGACTCATGGAAAATCCCCATCATTTAGCTTAAAGTAAATATAAAGAAACTCAAAATGTTGTGTACTCGAAATATTGTGTGCTTACTTGTGAACCTAGAGTGAGATTTTGTATTTTGCTGTCTCTCTTTGTTTACTGTAAATTGAGATGTTGCAACATCAATTATACTAGACACAAGCTGATCCACAATAGATGCCTGCAGATCTTCTAACTAGACATTTGGAGTCTTTTACATGACAGTCCAACCCTTGTGAACATTTTCAGTGCCATTAATGAATTGGATTTCACAATACATGTTCTCTATTTAGGCTATACACCATAGTGAAATCTTCTCCTCTAGTGTAAAGAAGAACTTAAAGGTTCTGAGAGACATTAGGGAAGAAGACATGTTATAGTTACATTGGTGTCATTGTGATCTCTCTCCTCTGTTGATGTAACATGATGTCAAATGATTTGTCTAGTCTTAGTAAAACAGGTATTTTACAAGCAGATTCTACTTAGGCATGGCAGGGAAAGGGGGTAAGGAACTGGCAGGCTCGTTCCCAGCAGGCTGTGCGGACTGATCATTTGGAATCAACCGGAGCGCAAGCAAAGTTTGGGCTGGGGATTAACAGGCCTGCCTGAGGGACCGGACTGGACTGGGTATATCTGCTGGCCCTTCAGTAACCAACCATGACTGTGTTTCCCAGCAACAGCATACAGCCTGCTTGCTAGCACTGGTCTGTTGCTCTGTGGTGTCTCGCTATTGGCCCTGAACTTCACCCCGGGGAGGGCTGTGATGAGTAGAACGTTGCCTTGGCGTTCTTTAGCTATCTTTTAGTCGGATGTGTGAAAACAAAGGAAAAGTCTAAATGTCTGCTTGCAGAAAAAAGGTTCATCACATAGCACAACGTCAAGTACGGGATAATATCCGACAAGCGGGTATTGTCTTGCTTATACCATGGCCACTTGCCAACAAATTATATACAACCAGAAAATATGAGTCATTAATTAACACACACAATTCATTTTGATCGTGCTTTTCTCTTTGACAAAAATAAAAGATATATAGTTTATGAGCGGCAAAGTTTGTGTGGTTTTCATTAAGCCTTAGTGGTGGGCCTAAAATTGTAAAGTTTGTCCGTAAAGGAAACAACCGCAGCAAATTCATCCATCTGCTTTGGATATACTTGCTTTTGGCAAACAGACTGATCGGCTGACCAATCAGAAGGTCATTGTAAGGCCTTTCATCCAGCAGACTACAGACTTGCAGTGGTTAAGAAAACCAGTTAAAGACATTTCTGCAGTCATTAAAACTGACCCATATAGCTGCATTAAATAATACACATTTTAGTTTCTCTCTCCGAGGATCTCTGAATGGAATGCACTGTTGTCTATATTAAATAGAGAACAACACTTTGTGCTGCAATACTATAATTAAACTCAGTAGAATTGTCTTGTGTGGAGGCAGTGGTGATTTCCTTGAAGCCCACATTTTTTCCCAGGGGGCTGGATTCAGTCACAGCTCTGGTATTTGGGAACAATATTTACCCAGAGCAGGGTTTTTAGTCACTGGGTTCTGGACATGAAGGATATGGACCTCTTCTGGGAAGTTGGCATATACAGTAGCAGTCGGATACAAAGCCCTGTGAGAACTGGCCTCCGGACTGAAGTTCAATGTGCCCCAGATCCTTCTCTTCTCTTCTCTTCTCTTCTCTTCGGCATTGTGGGTTTTGGGTCAGCGATTACACTATGCAGTCACATCTTAGTCCATCGCCCTAGGGGTCAGTGCACTGACGTCATGCCCCTCTCTGTGAGAGCCTGTGCCATCAGCAGCTGATGTCAGGCTCTGCATTGGCCACTCAAACACTGATACTTAAAGCTAAATCTCTCTGAAGTACAAGCCTCTCGTCTGTTTTCCAAAGGATTACATATTTATGTACCAGGCTTTGGAATCTTTGCAATTGAGCGTAACGTTCCTATCTGTGTTTTATTTAGTTCTCCTTTACCTGATTGCTGGCAAACTAGTCATTTTTGCTCAAACATCCCTCTGGAGACCATAACAACACTTGTCGCGAAGGAAATAATGCAACCAGGGACACCATGAGTGATCCATCTCAGGTACAGGGACGTTGGCTAGTTAGACTTCTGCGTTTGAGATGTTTCATGACCTACTTTCCGCAGCCATTTAGTACGTGGATATGTGGATGATACATATGAATTCGGGGAGGGCAATAAACAGCTGCCTGATTTGCTTTGGAAATTAAAGTTGACATCAGACGTCATAGCACTGGCCTCACGGCTTTGAAAGTCATGCCCCGTCTCGTTCTCTTACCTGGCAAGCAAACGCAGCACATACCTGCTAGCACTGCAGATAGCATTAAGGTCACAGTGCTCATTTTCAGCTCTTTACTTTGTTGATCTAATCTTGAGGTTGCGGTTACGTGGGCTGATGGCAACGTCTGAAGAATGGTGTGTGAAGCGAACAGAAATGTAAGTTAAAACGCTGACTCGGCACCTTGCTGTACATTACACAGGCCAACCACAGCTGCTTATTCTGATCTTTTGCCATAACCCCCTGATGGATACTATAACATGAGACAACAGATACTAAAGATGTATCCATTCAGTCATTAGATAGAACGATATGGCTGCCCAGTGATGCAACAGGGCCGTCGAGCATTTAGACTTTCTAATTTATGTCTTACGGTCATCGAAGGGTGCTGAGAGCGTCTCTCTGTTGTGTTAGCAAAAAGCCTGTCGCTGGGTTAAATATGAAGACTGTGAGCAGGTGAAGTCTGTTGGGTCTTGACTTTCTCACCCCGACTCATTAAGAGCTTTTGTCTCGCAAAGGGCTGAGACAGATGAAACATGAGAGTCTGGGACTAAATGTTTTCTTTGATGATGGATCTTGTGTGATTTGGCTTTTAGTCTTTGTTCCCTTTTTCAGTGTCGCCCTGTGTTTTAGTGTGTTCGCATGTCTCCTGCGCGCTTTGTGTAAATTATGGTTATGCACTTTTTTTGGTGCGTAAGAAGGCAGGCAGCACAGGGCCAGTTTGCAGTTTGATTGATTAATATATCAGATTATTATTACTGGGTGGTGGGAATGAATAGCCAGCAGTGCACCGGGCCAGGGGGCCATATCACTTATCACTGGGCTTTCCTCCAGCCATGCTGTAATGTTTTGGCAACCTGATATTGTTGCCATAATGCTCTCACAATCTGTCACTTTGTTGTGTGCTCAGTCATGATGGAGGGGCCTATCGCGCGGTGAGAACCGGGTACTTTGACAGAACACCTTCTGTGTGTGTACATGCACGTTACTGTAGGTGCGTCTTTATGCTGACAGGAAGCCACTTTTCAGGGAGTCATGCTCAAACAGCTTCAAGTGTCTGTGCTTTTGACACACGCAAACACTCACAAACGCCTCGTGGGGTTTCTCTATCTGTTGGTGGTCCACGCTCTACTCGCGAATTCATTCTTGACTCGTAAATATTTACAGGTGTGTATGATGTGTGGGCTTCACATGCACGGATACACCACTGTATAGCCCACTCAATCATGAGAGAAGTTGTTCAGTTTGCATTAGTGCTTTGATCTTCACGTTGCAGATTCTGAGCGGTTGACAGCAACAGGAAAGAGTTCTGGTAGTTACCGAGAGAAAGCAAAGTGACAGCTCCATCTCTTGTCCCCTCCCTCCACATCAGCCACACTTTCATCACACGGCAATAAAAGTTAATAGGCATTTTGTGCTGCCTCTCTTGTCGCTCTCCCACTCTCTTTTTCCACTTGCACGCCGTGTTTTGTTTGAGCTAAGCTTCATCGCTGGTACAAGCCAAAGTATTTACAGCGTAAATATTGGCAGAGAAATTCTATACTGACATCCAACTGCTGGGCCGGAAAAGGTGACTGAATCATTCCTCAAGACTCTCTCCCCTTTTCTTCCCCTCCTCTATTGTCTCACACATTTGTTCTTTCCTTCATCTCGTTTGGATTCGTTGACATTTGTTGTCTTTTTTTTCTTTTAATGTTGCTCTCCATTCTTTGTTTCAGGTTTACAGAAAATTACAATGGCTGACAGTTTTGACTGTGACAACTGCAAGGAGTCCTTGTACGGCCGCAAGTACATCCAGTCAGACAACAGTCCCTACTGCATCCCCTGTTACGACAGCCGGTTCTCAAACACATGCGATGAGTGCAAGGAGCTGATCGGCCATGACGCAAGGGTAAGGCATCTTTTTTTGACATGATCAGACATGCAATCATCTATCTGCTGCTCAACAGTAACATGTGGAGATCATACCGAATTCAAATTGCAACACCACCATTTTTTAGATTTGATTAAAAGAAAGAAAACATTACATGTTACTTAAAGAATTCTGGAAACATACATTTTCTTTAGTACATGCCCAGAGGAATGAACCGCACTCGTGACCTTCGTCTTTGCACGGTTTGAGCCACATGTTAGAAGTTGAAATAAATAAAAAGCCCCAATTAAGTTTAAGCCATTTTTTACCATGTTTTAAAATTGCTTTGGATCTCTATAAGAGAAGTTACGTCATTTAATGATGCATAATTCATGCTAAATGAGGCGTGTTCTATATATTGTGAGTGGCAAGACACAGTAAAGGCTAATTTAACATACAGACAATTTCCACTAAGTCCACATAAGCCAACGGGCTAAATTTTGTCTAAGATTGTAAAAATGCAGCATGAGGGACAGTCTCCTTCTTCCCCACATTCAAGTTAAAATGTAATCTTGCCTTAATGGAAAACACTAACATGAAGTGGATCATTTAAGACTGACATACGCTGCTTAGTGGAATTTACAGAGTGGGGCATGATACAGTGCTTAGTAGTTTACTTAGCTAAGGAGGCCAATGAGTTCTCAACACCCTCATGGGCAGTGGGTGAAAAATAAAGCCAACAGTTTCTTGGCTCAGTGCCCTTCAGACAATCAATTCAACATCCTCGTGAGACTTCTTTTTTTTTAACAGAATCATGCTCAAAAGTGCAGTACATTCTGTACATGTACACACGCAGTGTAACCAAGTACTTGACCTTACACATGTCAGATTGACCGACACCAATCAAACCAGAAACCTTTGTTGGCGTTAAATCTTGCAGTATTTTTCTTGTTTGCGGTAAAACATGAAAACAAATTTGAAAGGTAATTTAAATTTCTTGTTGGCTCCTCTTGTTCTCTCTGGCCAGGAGCTCTTCTACGAGGACCGGCATTATCATGAGCACTGCTTCCGCTGTTTCCGCTGTGATCGCTCGTTGGCAGATGAGCCTTTCACCAGCCAGGATGACGCGCTGCTCTGCAATGACTGCTACTGCAATGAGTTCTCCTCCAAGTGTGTGGCCTGCGACAAAGTCGTCATGCCAGGTAAAGGTGCAAGAAATATGTGCATAGAGAAATGTGGGTGTTGAGATATAAGGCTCATCCCATCTGTGCTCTCTGAATGACTCTTTTTCCAACTGCATTGTGTTTCTTTGGACGTGAACGAGCTCAGCTTAAAATCTAAGAAGCGAGAGTTGATTTAAAGAAAATTAAAAAAGTACAAATACACATACCTTGCGTATAATGCATTTGACAGTGCCATATATTATATATTATATTAGTCTCGTCACACATTTTATTTTCCATGCCGTATACAAATTCAAATTTTAAGATAGATAGGCAAATGACTTTGGAAAATGATGACGTGACAAATTCCAGGAAGCAGGGACGTTTGAAAAGTATAAAGTAACAAGCAGATATAGAAAGCTAAGAGGTTTTAGAAAAAAGAGGGAGAGAAGAAGGATTTAGCAGCAGCAGCCAGGGCTGAATTTGACAGAGTAATTGCTAGTCAGCTTGACTTGTTGTCTGTAAGCCAGATCCCCGGGGCTGGTGGGCTGCCAGCAGACTGATGATAACAAGAGATAAGTCAGTCAGATATTCCAGCGCCCCCGTAGCAGCTTACACAGTCCCCTATACTCCTACTGTAGGTAATCTTATGTTTTCTTATCAAGATCACACATTTGCATTACAGCGTGTAAAGTTATGCTCAGGTGAGTCACCTTGAGAGGGAAAAAATAGATTTAGAGAGTGATGTTGTCAAAGATATCTTAACTAGGAAATATCCGGGGGTTTAGTAGTATACTGTACAGTACTGCCCACTGTTAAGCATCCCTGTTTCTCCAAAAATTCAGATGCACAATTCTAGAAAGTGTTGCCTCTCCTCCAACAAAAGAACAAAGAGCCTCTTTTGCTATGATATAAAAATATGTTCACCCTCGAAACAGACACACTTCTCTTTGTTTAACAACCGAAGTCGAACAGCTGAAGTTGTTAATGTCGGCGACGGATGGAGAGAAGAAACTTAATACCAGCGCCATGTAAATGGACTTTTTATTTTTTCATTGAACCAGATAAAATGCACTGAGATAAAATCTCTTTTGTGATGGCAAAGAAGGCAACACATTTAAATGCCAAGTGCACGTCAATTTCATTCATAAAATGAAACAAAAACAAAACATTAGTTCACGCATCAACTGAAGAGGTTCAATAGACAGTGTATGATACTTACAGACAAAAAAAGGCAACAAGACATGACAAAAGTCTTACGCATTATTCCAAGAGCAGTTTGTGTTTAAAACGTGTAATAACTTTTGTTTAAAACTGGCTAGCGAGATGAATGGATTCTAGGTTGAACCTAACCTGCAGATCATTTCAGGTCCAAGGGCCGCAATAGAACAGACTTCTTTTTTCCAGACTCAGTCCACACACAGATGGCACCTTAAAGTCCAGCCAATTATTATTGAACCTATGTTATGTGCATGCATAACCTGTACCTATTTAGCATTGCAGCTTTTAGTCTATTTGTCAAATACCTAACTGCTAATATTTTCCTCCCCTGTAATTCCTGCCTTTTTCAGATTGTGAGACACAGCCTCAGCACACAGCCTGAAGCAGTGAAACGATAGCATTTAATGTCAGTTCCACTTGAATTACTGCGTCGCCATAGAATACACCAACCAGTATAATAAAAAGTTCAACAGCTAAGGGATAAAATAAATGGCATTATCCCTTTCTGTACGGCCTGCCGCCAGTTTCCAGCAGTAGGAAAGAAGTATGTGGCCTGTGGTATTATGATTTAAAATGAAATAAATCTTAGAGAAACAAAATGAGTTTTATAGGCCTTCAAGCAAGTGTATCATTTCATAGTTCAATAAAATTACCACCAAAGAACCCAAAATGGCCATAACAATCCTAAGAAGGACGGCAAAAGATGCATTCTACACAAAAAGTGAAGTGTCTCCCTTTGCTCTCTTTCAATCTTTCCATCCGTCTTTCTCTTTTTCTTTCTCTGCCTCCCGTCATCACTCTTTCTCTCTGCTAGGTACGAAGAAGTTGGAGTATGGAGGCTCTACATGGCACGAGGGCTGCTTCATCTGTCACAGCTGCGAACAGCCAATTGGCTCGAAGTCTTTCATCCCTGACAAGGATGAACACTACTGCGTGTCCTGCTATGAGGACAAGTTCGCCCCGCGCTGCACACGCTGTAAAAAGGTCAGTAAAACTATCAAAAGAATCCCCACTGACCCTCGCGTGGTAGTCCAACAAAATAGTCAAGAACGTATATTTTAGAAGTGAATGAAAAGGATCTTTGTCCTCTTTCATTTTCAGACCCTGGCTAAAGGTGGTGTGACCTATCGGGACGAGCCGTGGCATAAGGAGTGTTTCGTGTGCACCAGCTGCAAGACACAGCTGGCGGGTCAACACTTCACCTCCCGAGACGAGAGCCCTTACTGCCTCAAGTGCTTTGGCAGCCTGTATGCCAAGAAGTGCGAGGCCTGCAGCAAACCAATCACAGGTAAGATTTCATCGCTATGTTCCACACGATAATATTGATTTGTGCTACCGCACTTTTGATTGACACTGAAAGTAGATTGACTCTAAGGTTGGCAGCCAGTTTCTGCTTATGTGCGCAACCTTTTTAACTCAGATTTTTGCTTATTTAGTCATGGATATCAGCGTTACAAAGAAATAATTTGAAGCCAAGTCTTCAGAGGCTTTGAATTTTCAAACTCAAAATACATCATATTTTTCCCAATAGCTATGTTTTGAATCATGCATGATTTGCTGAATTCAAAGTCAGCTCTCTAAAGCTCAACATACAGTTTGATCTCAATGCTCTTCTTGTTCTAGGTTTTGGAGGAGGGAAGTACATCTCGTTTGAGGAACGCCAGTGGCATCAGGCGTGCTTCACCTGCTCCCAGTGCTCTGCTTCACTGGTGGGCGCCGGCTTTTTCCCTGATGGTGACAGGATCCTGTGCCGCGACTGCAACAGCAACCTATAGAGCAGTCATTTACCACATTCTCGCCCATCCCTTGACTTACCTTTCACCCTTCGTCACAGCATTTCAAGAACCCCAAGTCATTACCGAGGAAGGTAACGCAGGCTAACAAATGCTGCCTCTCAGGTTGTTTGTATATAAAGAGATCAGTTCCTTGTGGTCCCTGATTTTCATCCACGAGTTAGTGCTGCATCGTTTCAATGAACCACCACAAAGATTTCCTCTTTTAACAAAAAAGTTAATGATTTTATTCAACAAAGTTTATGGAGTGCCTTAAGAATAACATTACTTATATATGTTATGTACTATTGAACCAAAGAAACGCAAAATGCTAGTCACTTTGCAAAAAAAGTTGCCACTTCAGGTAGAGATCAGTCTATGAGGACAAGACACAGAGCACTGCTAAAGTACAGTATGTAAACCTCACAGTCTGTATTTCAACGTATGGTGGAGGTATGTGTCTGTTTTAATGTTCTTATAACTGCAGTTTTCAGCATTTTAATTACAATATGTCAGAGAGTAAAAACAAGGAGAAAACGTGGAAAAGCTTTGCTAATTATGCTTTCAGTGAGGTAGTCAGTTTATGGTAGTTATGATCATTAAAGTCCTTTGCACTTTTGATAAGATATTCTCTTGCTACCATGTTATGTGCACATAAAAACACAACTAAAAAACATGGCACACAGACCACTTTTGTGTTATCTGTATCTGCTTTTGTTTAAATTTTGCAATGACGCATAGATATTCATCTTGTTTTTGTCTTTTTTTAAATTTGTTGTAATGAATCATTTTTTTTTATCACCGTTGCTCAAAGAGCCAGCATTTAACCCCAAAGAAGCTGAAATGAAATGCCGTTGTGTATTGCAGGAGTATGCATGCCATGATTTGCGTCAATAATTATTTTGTTGCTCTAAACACTGTTAGTGTTCTGTTTTTCATTGTTAGTTTGTAACATGTATGTGAACAGTTATTAAAAAAAATACCTGTATTTCATTATTTCAGCTTTGATGCTGGTGAGTCAGAGTTGGCAAATATAAATTTTAAGATAGGAAATACGACATTGAGGCGATAACAGTATGAACTTACTGTAAAAAAAAAAAAAGATGATAATTGATACGGCTAAATACTACATGGTTAGTTTTATTTGTGAAGTCCTTTCAAATAAATGTACACTGACTGATCTTTACTGGGCAGTTTTTATAATTGTGTATTTGTGGTTACAGTGAAATATCCATTCCTGGTTTATGAGGCCGTAGCTTTCTGTGCACTTGTGTTAACTGTCTAAGCCGGAGAAAACCCTTCCCATGTGTTTAACCCTCCTGTTATGTTAGTTTCTCAGGTACAGCAATGATGTCCCCGGGTCGATGTGACCCGGTGCATGTTTAATCCTCCAAAAGTTGTCAGAAACAAAAAAATCCTAATAAATATAGTGATAGTAATAAAATGGTCTAAACTTGACCCTTCTGACCCCTTATAGCCTCCACTTTCACTGCCGGGTCAAATTGACCCGAACATCATCTCTGTAATATAAACCTGCAGGGGGGGGGGGTTGCAAATACATGATATTAACCTTTTTTTTTTTTCCAAATGTTGATTACACTAATTAAGGCAAGCAGAAGAAGTTTCATACAGAAAAAGTTCTAGATTTTCAAACTTCGAAATGGGTCAACTTGACCCGCAACATAACAGGAGGGTTAAAAAGTCTTTCTAGGAAAGATCAGTGTGAGTGTGTCTGTGAGAGAGAGAAAGAGAGAGAGAGCACCGGGGGAAGGGCATAAAACTGTGTGAAAAAGTGTTGGAGAGAGAAACCATGTGTGTAATAAAAGATAGTAAAAAGTGTTTGTGTGTGTCTGTAGGTTGAGGATATTTGTGTGTGTGTGTGTGTGTGTGAGAGGGAGAGAGAGAGAGAGAGAGACACAAAGTAAAAGGGAGAGTGACTGCACATCTGTGTGTGTCTTTGTGCCTGAATGTGTATATATAGAAAACATCGTTGTTTATGCTGAGTCGACTGTTTCATCGCCGTGATGAAGCACACACAGACCGCCAGACACAATCTCCTGTCGGCGTTGGCGAAATGTCCTCCTCCCTGCCTGCATTTGAGATTTTTTCACCAAAAAAGGAAATGGAAAACTCGTAGCTGTACGGGGGAGGGAGGGTGACTGGTGGTGGAAGTAGCAGAAGTAGGAGAGAGAACAGAGTGTGGGAGAGAGAAAGAGAGGGAGGATGTTCACATCTGGAGTTGCTCCATGGTGGGGGGCGGGGGGGGTCAGCTCCACACAAGGCCCCCTTTGGATTTATTGGAAGGAGGAGATGGGCGGGGAGGCGGCAGCTAGCAGGAAGGGTCAGAAGAAGAGATGTTAACTGTGTCACATGGTACAAGCACTCTACGCAGGTTCAACTTGAACAACTATTACGATGTGAAAGCTGCCTCCCTGTCTCGTCGTCTTTCTGATATTCAGCAACAATGTTAGCCGGACCTCTTCAGCCATCTATAGTTGCTGTAACATGTCAGGCTGTCTGCCAGTAATGTCATTTACAATTTTACCACAGAGAGACCCGGGTGCAGTTCTAAAACTAAACACGGCTCCGTTTATTTTCATCAAAGCTGCACAAAGTTTATGCTGTGTGTGAAATTGAACTTGCCTTATCAGCCTGAATCACAAGTTCACTGCTGAAGGGCACTTAGCTTCCTAAGCAGGACACTACAAGCTTAGTTTTTTACTTGCTGAACATTTAGAAATTCTAGACATTTATGTTAAATACACACTGAATCATACTTAGTAGCAAGTGCTATTTAGCGCTACATGGGGTCCTTTGCGTCGCTTATGTTCTCTTGTATGAACTGAGTAACGGATTGTTACAGTTTATAGGCTGTATTTTAAGAAAAGACAAAGAATATAAAAACAAAGAAAATCTTTACACACAGTCTGTGGGTCATGTAGACACCATGTTACTGGATTTGTGTGTTTCAGGGTCAAGTCAAAAATACACTTACCTCTTGTGGCCCAATATGTAGCATTGCGTGGTGCAGCTTTTGATAAACATAATAAATAAAAACCTTGACCTAATGATTATACGGCATTGCCAGGCCATTGAAAATGACCGATTACAGTTTTAGAACGTACAGTATATCAGAAGGAAAGGTGTCAGGAGACTGAGGCTGATAGAATTATGTTTATGGCTCAGATCCCAAAGTTTTATAGAATGCTGGGTCCATAAAAACAGCAGGGATAGGTGGGTAGCACAGACCCCATCCATATTGATCCCAAATGTCTCAGCTGTTCTCAGTCGGCTGGATCACTTTTCAGCATAACATCACAATCACCAATTACAGTTTCAGAGGGAAGTAAATCCTAAATATCCAAAGTGAAGGTGATATGATATAGTTATTGTTTGATCTTAGCCCTCTCTAAGACTTTTCTAAAGACCATTAAAACTATTTTTTATTTGCATCCATTTATGGCGATTAATGCCTCCTGTCTTACATAACTAATCACGTTGGTGTTTCATTTGAACTGCTTTCATGTTTACACATTTAGATTGAATTTGATTTTAGTATTTGTGACAACTGTGTGGAACTAAATTGAGCTGATGCCTGAAGTGATATGAAGAAAAATAGTTTTAATCCATTTTCTTGATTATTTGATTGACCTAACTTTGACTGAATCCAAGTGTATCTGTATTTATCAGATTCACTGTAAATAGATTCACAATTTGTAGTCTTTGCTGTGAGGAAATGTAGAGATTGTTCCTCTCCAGGTGGCCCGTCTATAGGGACCGGTGATCATACACATGTCACAACTGAGAGGTTAACTGAAAATAACAATCAATTTCATGTTTTGATTTAGAGTGTTATTGCACCTGTTTGGACAACTTTGTAATTCTAATTAGTGACCTCAGGTAATTCACAACATTCCTCAATAGCAAACTGAGCAGAGGCCCAATTAGCCACAGTAAGTGAAAACACCTGTTTGTGTGTGTGTGTGTGTGTGTGTGTGTGTGTGTGCGTGTGTGTGTGCATTAACTGGACTCCATTGTTGCTATGCTATTTCCTCAGTACCCCAAAATCTCAGAGAATATTTACTGAAGTAAAGTATCAACCTGAGCTGTACTTATAAGCCATTTTAGGTAACTATAGGCAAAGCTAACTCACAGCACACATTGATTGCTCAGAAACTGTCTGTACCTCTTTTGTCACGATGAAAATCTGTAAATAAATTGATTTAGCTAGATGCACTGTATGCTGGGAAGTGGTTTAATGCTTTTTACTGTAACCCAAACAGCTGAGCAAGTGGGCGTTTGTGCTGTGAAATGGTGAAATTAGTATGGCTAAATTAGGGTGTGAGTGCATAGGTTCGGCGCTGTCGATACCACTACCTAGACTTTGGGTATTGGCCGATACTGAGTACCGATCCGATATCAGTGACTGATCAATAACACGTATGCCTCACTGTGTGGAAGAGACAAGGATCCTTGTTTTATGTGTAAGGTATAATGATATCCGATACCAGATCGGCCAATTGTCACCGAGCTATTTGAGTCAGTATCGGACAGATAGACAATATCAGTATTGGTTTTGGGGAATCTCTAATTCTAATAGCTCAGCACAGGCCGTGGTGTGTTGTGATTATATCACAGTTAAGAGTCGTTGTTCAGCCCAACAGGAAGCTCTTTATTGGCTCTTTATTTACATTATTTGTTTATTGCCATTTATTGTGCAAAAACTGGAAAACTGTCCGGCATCAGTAGAAGGACTTTAATAACTGCTTCTACTAGACTCGCCTTTTTTTGTTAGGTAGAGGTGTGCTGCTTGGCGTGGCGAGGATGTTGCTCCACGATTTGTGGTCCCCCAAATTTTGGATGCTAATAGCTCTGTAGAGAGGTTTCACACTTGACAACAATTTAAAAACATTGTCCAGTGTAAAATATGTTATTTCATTTTTAATAGGTTTTGGGTTTTTCACACAACCATCTGTCGACCCCCAGAAATTATCTATGGCCCCCTTGGGTGTCAAGACCCCCAGGTTGCGAGCCACTGCTTTAGCTATTACTGTAGTATATGAGAGAGATGAGAAGGTTAGTGAGCTCTGGGTTTAAAATAAAACCTCTCATCGCAGTTCATTTCTGTAACTGTTGTCAAAATGACACGATTTTTAATCCTATTGGTAAGAATGTGATTGTAATCCCCCCGTGTGACCATGAATTGAGAGTAAAAACTTCAACAATGAATGAATGACCATCTTCCTGTTTTTCATTTGCCAAACATCAAGTTAGATATCATCACAAAACTTGATCAAGCTTGAACCTGCAGCGGTGAGTGTTGCAGCAAGCTGAGGTCACGTCATGTACGATGTCTAGACAAGAAAATAGAAGTATGAGTCAGTTAAACAATGTTACTTTCCACAGGCTGCTGTATCCAATGAACTTCATGTGCTGCAGAGGATACATCTCATCAGTTTCATTTATCAGGATGAGGGGATGGACACGAATTTGGTATGATCCCTTACAATCTTCATACATGGCAAGGTTAAGCAATTGAAATAATATTTGTTCATCACACAGAATCATTTATTCCCAGCATTGATTGAGTCTTCAGGCTGCATTGCTGGCAACTGACACACCTGGTGGGAATAATTGCGTCAAGAGTGTCTCGCCTGTTGATTACTGATTGGGAAACACACTTGTGATCTGGCTTGTATATATAGTGTAGGTGTGTCATTTGTGCGTTTGGCTGCTTGAGGAAGTTCAGCAGATTCAAAACACTTCTGTGAACACATTATATTTGGCTCCTATTCTATCGGGTTTTGACTGAGAAGTTTGGGGAATTTCCTCCCAACGATCAACACCTCAAAGTGTGGTGTGTCGTTAAAGCTGTTGAATGGTTGTCTGGGCCGCGTTGACAAATTGTAGTCAACAGTGGCAATTTAAATCACAGTCATAATTTGACTTTAAAATCAGTGCTAAAAACCTCTCAATGTCCAAGTATCTAATCGGTATGTAATTTTACTCAAACAATAAATGTGGGATTAAGATTTAACTGCTTCTTTTCTCGACCCTACCGGAGTTCAAGCTTTTCTTTGTCACTTTCCAACCTTGAATGAAGTTAGTATACATTAGATGCGGAAGATAGTTGAGCAAGAAAGCATTCCTAAGACAATGTTTAATCACTAAAGATGATGAA